TTTAAGCTTCCTTTGGGTACCGGCTGCATTTAGAAAAACAAAGGTGTATTTCTTTCTGTGGTCTCTTTCAAAGTCTTGGACAGACAAGACTCTCCAGCCAGACCTTCCAGGGACATATCAAGTTATCTCCGTTTTGCGTCTCTGAAAATGTAGGCCAAGACATTTCAACAGAAGAATAGAAATGTGTCTTTGCTTGTGCCTTCCCTCTTCTCAGGACAAGTGACTTGATCTGGTATTTGACCGAACTGTCTGTAATTCTTATCTGATTTTTACACCATACTCTTGATTTTACCTTTGACACATCATCTTCTCACTGTGGCAAGAAATGTGAGTTGCTATAATTTTTCACTGATCACAATGAGAACAAGAGCAGAAGGCTAGACCTGATATTACAGAAGCCCCTCTGTTATCTATAGATAAAAATGTGATGAAAGTGTCCATAGCAAATTTGAAGGTACTCAGTTTTTCCAGGTTTTCAGCTGAAATCAGGATGTGAGTAGAGCTGTGCCAAACTTTCTTTGGAGGAACCACTGTATTGACCTAGTCTGCGGTTGAGCATGAAAGATGCATATAACTAATTTTTTCTTAAGGACCACATATTCATTTTGAGCCTAAATAGTTTGCATCTGGAAAACATTGGTGAGATGAGTCAAGACTAAGTGGTTTTAAAACTTCAAATTCAAGCTCATTTTTCCCTGGGAATCTGCTGATGTTTGAGACTTTTATACCACTTGCTTTCTTAAGAGCTTTGTGCTGCCACCCACAATCATAGTATTTAATCCCAGATTTATCTTGACATTACAGCATGTGTTTATTGTATGTTCAGGGGGGAAAAATAAGCTGCACTTCATCAAAGACATCTGCCAAGTTAGACAGAAATACCTAGCCGTTGTATATTTACAGGTCCTCGAAATATTGATAATTGCAATCAAGAAAAATTAGGAAAAATAAATATGAGCACACATTCTCCCAACAAAGCAACAAAAGAGAGTTGAGGCTGTCTGGAATCCTTTTTTTTTGCAGAAAACTGAGAACAAGATGGCTTGCTGATTGTACTGTGACCAAATCCCTTGTAATGACCACTTTCAAACCTATATTTACACATGTTCCTGTAAAGGGAAGGGCTGTCTGACCTAACTGTGCTGAAATGAAAATACAAGAGCAGGGCATTTATTTTTGTTTTGAAATGTTTTCCACCATCTATCATGTCTTCTTTCTTTCATCAATACCAACGCAATATACATTTTTTCAGAAATGTTTCTTTTTACTTTAGAAACCAGTTTTTATCTATAAAAATGGAAGACACGACTGAAAAGTTTGTTATTTATAGAATTTTTTCATTCACATTAAAATAGGTAGTTTGGTTTTTTAACCTTGGCATCCTCTAGTCTGTTTTTACTTTAGCTATTGAGTGCCTTCTAAGTGTAACATATTTTTTATTGCACTGTTACATTCATCCCAATAACGACCAGGATTGAATGCCTCCAGCATGTTGCTGAGAAGAAGAAGATGTGAATGTAACCAGGAGCAGGGCTGCTACAGGATGCTGAGAGGAAAGGTTATATCCTAACACATTTTTAATCCCCCATCCAGTAATCCCTGATGGTTGATTAAGGTGGGACTTTCAGGGCTTGACCATTTCATTCACTGCACATAGTTCAGAAAACACTTTTATTGGAGATGGAAACAAGACCCTTCTAATGGTATAGGTTTCTAGGTTTTGGCAAAGAAAGATGAAATTACAAATGAATCATGAAAACATTTTGCTGGATCAGTAATTTGCCTTTTCTGTAATTTTACTTAGCATCTTATTTTAAATAGCTTTTGTTCAAAGTACTAGAGATGCTTGCTTAGTTATTCAGCATGTTTGTGCTCTGAGTGCCTCTAATGATTTCTTGGCTTTAGACTGTCCTCAGGAAGCTATCATAGCAATTCACACATCAAGGACAGTCCTCATCTTCAGTTAATTTGAATGTGAAAACAGATTCTAGATTGCACTTATTTATTTTAGTAGACATTTAATGGTCTTCATATGTATTTTATTATTATGTCTCTCTTCATCAATTCACCCACTTTCTCATCAAGTGTACACTTCTTAATCTTACATGCACAGATGCATACACCAAAACATGCTCACGAATGCATGCAGTGTATTGCTAACACAAAATTATTTTCTGAAGCATACACTCAGAATCAGACTCTCCCATTCAGACCTTCCCACTGCAGAAAACCAGGTTCAGCAAAATGGTATTTCTCTTTTATGCGGATATTGTTACTAAGCTTCTTGGCATAACAAGATTGAGACCTCAAGACTCTGTGTCCTTATCAGAATAATTAGCTAAAGTTGATAATGAATCTTCGTTGCTGCCCTGTTACCACATGTGTGTCTTATATTTAGTCAACACAGATAGCAATTTATTATTCTCTTCTTCCCTCTGGCAGCCACTGACATTCTAACACTAGATCCAGGAGTTTGTGATGACTGCTCTGTCACTTCATTAGATCCCAAATTAGGTGAACAGAGTTACCAGCCTGCTGACCATGTGCCTCAGAGCAGTCAATTAATAAGTAGATGCAGGAAGAGTCACCAATTACATGTAACGAGATCAGTCTGGAAGTTGATATTAAGAATATAATCATAAACTGAGTAATTTGGTGTTTGCCAAAATGTTTTCCATTGTTCAGTTTCTTTGCATCCCTCTCCTCACCTCCATTACTACACAAGTTTCTAGTTTTACAAAGAATCGGTGCTGTCACATACTTGGGAAGAATTTTGCCGATTATCTTGCCTCTCTCCAAGGGATACAGAAAGAAGACAACTGTGATTCCTGAGACTTCTCAAGGGATAATATGCTTGATTTGCTGTTTTAAATGAGTATTTTGTTATAGGTTACAGAAATGGGATGCAAAACAAACTTTTATGTAAAAAAGTAGGAAAGGTAAAAGTCTGCTAGAATCATGACAAAATGTTTTCTCCTTTTTTTTGACTAGGAGCTTAATTGTATTGTTCTCACTCCCTGGGAAATGCCATAACTTGCCAAGTGAGATATCTGATGTGCAGTTTGCTACCCTCTTTTATACACATAGTTCTTCCACGGTACCTTGATGATACAAAGTCAAGGTAGAAAGAAGCCCTTCCACTCTGCCGTTGCTTTCTCCACGGTATATGACTTCCTTCGATGTCTTGGTATAACTTTGAGCCATAAAGAAATATTTTCTTTGACTTCCAGGTGATTTTAAGACAATGAATATTAGGCTACTTGGTTGTATAGGTATATATAAAAATATACTGGAGTATTTTCATCAAGAAAACAACCTCTCTATAAGACACTGAATTTCTTGAAATACTGGATGGAATCAGATAAATAAACCTGGGTACTATGGTAGTTAGTGAGGCTCTTGAATTTTATTTAGAGGATAAATTAAACAGGAAAGTATTATTACGTATATTAAATTAGATTCTAATTGATTGGTTTGTTTCTGTCCCCAATTTTTTTCCCTCTAAATATGCTTTTTGGCTTCATGCCTCATACTGCACCCAAGGTGTATTATTATGGCATAATACTGCACATCCTGTTGTGCCGTATGTTCCAGCAGATGTTCTTGGGACTTATTTTTGCACCATTTGAAATTAATTTCAGTTGGCTCCTCAATTACCTACTTTTCAAATTTTCTGCAATTGAAAATGCAAGTCTCCTATGATTTGAATATATGTATATTTTATATATACATACCCATGATTGCATATTAATATTTATGCCCAGTGTCTCTTTAATATTAATCCATAGTCTTGTGATAAACAACAGGAGTGAAACTAGTGGTTAAGCCAAGATCTGTAAAGCAGTAGAAAATATCCAGTATGCCACACTTTAGGCTTTAGGGGAATGTTTGTTATAAGTGATCTTATTTCATCTGAACACTTATCAACCCTTTTCATGTGTGATACTAAAGTTAAATTCTTGGATGAATAGAGATAAATAGCTATTTCTAAAGGAATTTATCTTCCAAAAAAAATTTTTTCAAAAAAATACTAGCCAAAATTATGTATCCCAATATACTGATTCATATATTGTTTTGATACTGATTTGGTTGCTTTATTTACAGAAGTTTTAGGCATATCTTTCTTTATTATTGCTTGTATTTTTTTTTCCTTTTACTTTGTTTTTCTTTCAATAGAATGGAAACATTTAGTTATATCTCTTTGGAGAGATTCAAACATTATTGGTTTATTGGCCAAAAATAAGAATTAAGTATAAAAATCTGGTCAATATTACAGATTTTCTATTTTAATAGACGGATATTTATTAATGCAATTCTTTAAAGGGTCTTATTCAAAACTCATGGAAGCAGATCAGAAGCTTTGATGGGCTTGGAGAAGAGCTTAAAGAATAATGAACATATATGGTTCTGCTTAGTACTGGCCTTGCTCGTGTAAATGTTTTACTGGTTTATTACAAAGGAAATCTTAATAAAATAAAATTAATTAAGATCTTTTCTGAGTCTTTATCTGTAATCACAGTCTTCTGTGAAACAACAACTATTTCCATGAAAGGGCAGGCAGTGGGATTATTCTGGGTGGGATTTTGGTTTTATGCAGATAGGTTTGCTAGCAGCAGACCTCCAGAAACTAAGTATTGGGTCCCAGGAATAACGCAGTGACTTAACCTTCGTTATGCCTCTTATGAGATGATACATTCCTTGTTTATCTTTGAGTTTCAAAGTTTTTTGGGCCACCACCCTTGTGTTTTCCAAATATTTTGTATAACCAGGAGAGCTGGAAAATTGCTTTTATTTATTTCTTAAGATGGAAGTTGAAATTCTCATATACTCTATGACTCAAAGATCTGAGGTTCTGGAAAAAGCTCTTGATATCATGAAGAAATTGCAAGACTTGGCAACTTTGCTCAGGTGAATCATAAAGCTCAAGACTCAACTTTTTTTCTAAGTAAAATATGTTACCACTTCCCCTTGGATGTACAGACAGCTGGCAGAAGTCTTCACATTATTTATTTAAGAAAAAACAGTTAAGGAGCCTGCTCTTGTTCACCTCAAATGTGTTTTTGCACTGGACCAAAAACCTTCACAATTCCTCATCCTAGGAAATGTGGGAGACCTAAGGGAGAAAAATAAGCTACCAGAAGTAATGTTCTTCTCTGAAAAGCTTCAGTTGTCTTAGTCAGGTTATGCTTTGGGTACCAATGAAGCTCAGAGGTGAGTTGTGAAGGTTATTTCAGTGATTACTTGCAAACACTATAAACCAATCACCGTATCTGGTGTACTGCATATTTCACATATATTTTCTGCGGTAAGGATACGATTTCCCAGTCTTGTTTTTTAATTTGTTACGGACATTGAAAATTCTGCAAATTACTAAAAGTAGCTTTCATACATGCTTGTGATGTTTTCCAGCTTCCAATGTCTCAGGTGCTTTATTGGCAATGAAGTAAATTCTGTATGTCCCACTGGGAATCCGAGTTTCTCCCTCTGCCAGTTGTAGTCTTGGTCTCCTTTCTGTAGGTGTTTGGTTAATGAAAATAAAACCATTGCAGATTGCAAACTACAAAATTAAGTTCTCAAATTGCTGACAACTTAAATGCTGTCACATGTTAATGTTATTACATCATTGAAAGTCAGAGTTGTCTGTACCCAAAAGACACATTAGATTGTTTGTGCTTTGCTACCCATCTGGAGAGTAGCTAATTATTTGGACCCATTCCAACAGAGTCCAACAAACACCTGGCAGACAATGTGCACGTTTCATTTTGCCATTGCAAAGGAGTGTTACAGACCCTTTTTGGTTATCATTGTTTTATTATGAAATTACATCTGAATGGCAAAGTGAACCTGGGCCAATATCTTGAATAGCACTGTGGAGGTTGGTTATCTATTAAATCTAATGTCACCAGGCTCCCTGTATCATTAGCAGGAAAATGTATGTTACTGTAGGCAGCCCCTCAATGGGTTGGGTCCCTGGACCCAAGTTAACATTTGTGATATCTCCTTCTTTTGCCATTATCTAATCTATCAGCAGAATTATCTGAAACACTAGCTGTAAGCATTTAGAGCCCAGTCTTACTGAATTTCAAGGCAACTTTGGTTCTGAGTTTCACATTAAAAGATGAACAGGGTATTTACATTTTCAAGTCAGTTATACATCTGCCTTGTTCCAAATTTTGTGCTGAAAGAATAATTTTGCAGTTGTTCATCCCCAAGTATTACTTTGAGTATAAATAAGTTATACAAAATGACACATATTCTCCTGGCAGCCAAAACCAGCCCATGTGACGATTCTCTGATTCTTTTGAAATATTTTTCTCCTGTGTAGGAAGATTCAGGCATATGTCAAATGCCTTCTAATGCACCCATGAGACTCCACGTGCTTAGGTCCATCATATATAACCAGATGGACATAGAAGAAGTGGATTGTTGAGATTGTTGTTGGAGGGTCCAGTTTGTTTTACAACTGACTACCCATGGCCTGATGAATTTAACATCTGGGAATAGATAATTGAAAAGAATGAACTGTCCTGTCTAAGAGAGAATGGCTTGAATAATGCATGTCTCAAACACTGTTCATTCAGCTTCTTGATGCAATCTTATTAGTTGCATTTGTATTTGTAAAGCAAGAGGGGTTTTGTTCACACTGTGTTTTGGGATTCATATGAATACCCATATTTGCATGTGGACAAGGCCTTCTATCAGCTATGGACAGTGGTATGCATAAGATCAAGCTTAATAAAACCACTCTTCTAGTCTGAAAAAAATCTACAAAATCTCTCCCAAATGCTTCAGAAATCTTGTGAGGCAATGGGAAGCACACCCTGTGCCTCACATGAGCAGCTACATGCTGTGAATAGCAAGTGCCCAGTGAACAGTTAAATTGAACTGTATGTAAACAACCCACAAGGTGAAATTTCTCTATGTAAACTGCATGCAAAATGATTAACAAATTATTTAGTAAATAGGTTGTTCTATCATCATCATATCTAATAGAGCCCGTTTGTTTGGTTTTTGGTTGGTTTGTTGTTTTTTCTTTTTTTTTAAGGGTGGTTGCAGAGAAAGAGTTGTTTTGATTTTATTGCCAGGCATTAAAGCATTTCTGCTGCAATTAATTCATGGACTGATGACCAACTTGCAACCATACACTGGTGGAGAGGTCAGCTGCTGCCACCAGAGAAGATGGGCAGTTCTGACTCTTATTTTTCCATCAACGAGAGAAATAAAAGCATCTGTCCCCTCTACCCAACCATTTATCTTGCTGGAATCTCAACTGAGTGACAGAGAATACAGTATCTTACAGAGTGTGGGAAATTTATTCCAGCAGAATGGCACACAGCACATCTGTAGTGCAGCTGTGCCAGGCTGGCTGGTGAAACATCACAGCTGAAAAGAAAACACAGGGCAAGTCTCATGTGTGTCTACCATATGCCACTAATATTACAACAGTTTTTCACATTTGGGTTCACAAAATTTCTATTTGTATTAGTGGCACTTGCCAAGTATCTGGTCTCCCTAGTCTTAAATGGTGTCAGTTTGCTGAGCCCTCATAACTGAGAACAGAATTAGGCCACGTGTCTTCAAAAAGCCAATGTGCGTATTGAATGTGCCCCTCTATGCATCCATTTTTCCTAAATGACATAAAGATTGTCTTGCCTTTCTTACATATGCTATGTGTTGAGTATATATCTGCGTTGCATATGCATAGATTATCCAGTAGCATCAGTTCACAAAGTGCTAATACCATTTATCCAAAATATCTGCTGACACAGAGTATTTCAGACCTCCAAAAGCATATTTTCGTCATAGACATTTCATAAACTTCTTTGCTATTCTGTCAGTCATAAACCTTAATATAACTTTGGATGACCAACCTCCTGCTCTATGGTCCATTCCGTTTTTATGCAAAAATCATAATCCAGTTCTAGACTTAAGGCCTGGTTTATGAGATTCCAGCTATTGTGTCTTGAAATCAGATGGAGCTGAATCTGAAGAATATCTAATCCTCTTGGATCAACCAAAGTTTCTTCCCATCTGTTGCCGAGGGGGTGGAATGATAGTGAGTCATAAAGAAACTCCGGCTGATGGGAACTGAGGAGCAATTTGTTAAACCATCTCTCAGTTTCTCTTGACTATTCCTATATTTCCTCCTCCTTCCCAATGCAAAGGCAAGCAGGCAGCTTGCCCTGCTAGTGAAAAAAGGCTCACACATGATGCACAGTCTGAGCTCTATGGCTACCAGTGCCCCTGTGTAGAGCTGATGCCTACTCCCCTCCATTTCCATAAAAAGTCAAAAGGATTTATTTTAACCTTTTATTAAATTAATTGTTCAGAGGTGGTGAAGAGCTTGAAACCACTGGGAAATCTGAATTTTTAAGAAAAGGTCACAGCTCAATTTGAACATATTCATGACTACCCTTAGGAAGTTGCAGTCAATACCTAAACATGATATGTCTCCAAGTGCTTCTTGGAGAAACACTGTGTGATTTTTACTTTTTTTTTTTCCTGGGAAAAAAATGTATAAATCTGGCTATTGTTTCCCTAATCTCCTTTCATGCAAGATATTCTTTCTCTCCTTCCTCCTCTTATCCTCTTTTCAACTTCTTCGGGATCAAAAGTGATTGTTCTCAGATATGGTTCAGAGCATTATCTAGTCCAATCTCCCCTTCACAACAGCTGAGTATGAAAAGACAGCAGCACTTCAGTCCTCAGAAATGGTATTATTAGTACTATCATCAGGAGGAATCCTTTCAGATACATGTACTCCCTATTTCACCATGAATTCAATTTCATTCTTCCTCCTACATCTCTTTCTGTCCCATTCTGAGGGAGTGCAACCCAAGTTATCTCTGTACAAAATCATGATTTGTTTTTAAGAACACCATCACGCTGTCAGCAGCATTGGAAGAGAATAACCATAAAACTAAAAATTTAATTCTAGTTTATATTGCTGGTTTAACTAATAAAAGACTGAGATATTGCTTCCTTATGGTACAATAGCCTACTTCTCAAGAGGAGACAAGCGTTCTGAGATGAACCCACTGCCTTTCACTGTTATACAACATGTTAGGTGTAACAACAACACTTAAAAATTAAAAATAAATAAATAGTAAGGCTCTTTGTAGTCCCATTGCACACAGACTTTTGTGAACCTTAAGCAGCTAGTTATTTTTCTGTCAGTAGGGCAGCATTTTTGAAGTCCAAACCCCTCATTCTCTATGTAGAATATTTTAAAATCAATTCTGTGTTAAAAAATGAAAACAGTAAATTAGGTGACATGCCATGAGTTTGATAGCACATATTTCTAGCTTCTTCTTCTTTGTGTGACTCGTTATTTTATCTAAAACTGGAGTATATAAGAAAGAAGAATAGACTATGGGGTAAATGATAGAAAATTCTCCCTCTCTGTGTGAATGCAGGAATATCTGTGGCATTCGGTCAGAGCTGTGAAGACAGGTATGTGCCTGAGGCATTTCTACTATAAAATACTAAAAATGAATATCAAACACATCTGATGACAAATTTTGACTGACTTGATTTTCATTATGATTGAAAAGCCTTCCTGAAGCAACAAATATTTATCCAAATATAGCTTGTTCCCAGAAAACATGGATCTGGATTTCTCCTGATTGACTTTGGTCACTCAGCTGAAGTAAAGTAAGAGCACAGATCCCTCAAATATGAAAAAGGAAGAGAGACACAATCTGTGGAAGTTCCTCCTCTTTCCATCAGTTACCAGAACAGCAGAGCAGTATCCCAGTGAAGGTGCTAAATAAAGGTGTGTTGAGTCCCAGTGCTTATACTAGGAGATGTTACAACATGGCTTATTTAGGGGTAAATACTCTTTTAACTAGTAGGAGTATGTTGGAAGAACAATTTGCCAACTAGGACATATAAACTGAGTACTCAGAGCTGAAATAATAACTTAGACCCTTATTAAGTGCCTGTTTTGCATGCTTCATGGCTGCTTTGAGCAACCATGTGAAAAAATTAGATGTTCTGCTGGGGAACATGCTACATAGACTTAGCCTTGAGACTCCAAATACAATTTTTGGTGTATGTTTGTGACTAATAAATTATGTACATAGATAGCAGCCTGCTAATTTACATATTAATAAAAGTGAGTTATCCTCAGATTATGTACAATCTGCTGTGTCTAGGGGTTATAAAGAATGTATGTGAATATATGTGTGAGAATGAACTTTGAGGGCTTCAGAATTACAGTAGCAGAATTTGCGCATCCTCATAGGCTGCTGCATAGAGCAGAGTTCTGTTTTTATGTACATAGCTTCTCACTTCTGATGCACTGATGTGCATTCAAACCCTCTGCCTTTTTTTATCTGCTGAAGTACCTTCCAAACCTGGAGGTTCCCAGATGATTTGTGGATGGGATAAAGGCTTCCTGCATGAAGAGTCAATGGCCTAGCTATTCAAAATTCTTCAGAATTCTTCATTGGGTTTACCTGGGAGCCTAAATCTTTCTTGAGTGAGGCCAAAGGGCTTTATTTCCTACCTGAAATGTACCTACAAATCCTCTCTTCTAGCCCAGACAACACACTGTCTTCATGCATTTTGTTGACTAATATGCTTAAATCAAAAGTTAGTTTAATGTACCATAGACATCGGTGTATGCCAATCTCCATGGTGTCTTTTCTTTTTCTTAGCATGCCATGAAGCAAAATTACAGCTTCCCTTTCCACTCTGTTCAACAGAGAGGCATTTGGCTGTGCTTATCTGGCATTTGTGTTCTGAAGTAGAGCCTTCCAGGGCTATCAACACAATTTCCTGGCTTAAGAAGCCCTGCCAAAGAAATATTAGTGTGCCGATAAACAAATATTTTTGTTTGGGTGTATCAAAGTGTTAAGGTTATCCTGTTAATTTGCCCCTTACTTCATTAGTATTGAGTTAGACTATATTACTTTGGGGGCCTAGATAAGTTCTTTTATTAATTCATCAGGCTGGTAAATTGAAAATAATCATAACATTTGCACTGTATAAGATTTTTTATTTGTTTAATACTTGACTTATAAATATTTTTGAATGTATTGTAAGAAATCCCAATTTTCTACCTCCAAAAGACTTTTAAGTCCGTTACTATTTTACCTTGTTGATATAAAAGAATTGCCTTTCAGTGGTTTAATTCTAGAGTAAATACCCTAAATATGTTTGTGCGGACTGTGTTCTAAAACAAGGAGGAGTTTAGACAAAAACCTTTGGGTTTTTTTCTCAGAGTTGGGAAAAAAAAGTTTCTGGTTTCAACAGTAGTGCTGGAGTAGTGTGGAAATATATGTGTATGTGCAAATTTGTGTGTACTTCTTTGCTACTGATTCCAGAGACCATGAATCACTGTTTGAGAACTGCTTGTTAGACAGTAAGTTTGCTTGAATAGAGGATTCGTGTTTGACAAAATTGACCAACTCTGTGTTATGAAACAATTACCATACTTGGACCTAAAATCCAATCTGGGAAACATTATATTGCATACCTCTATGCTGTTGAGATTTGCCCTTGGCCTGCAGCAATTAAAATGCATCACGATGGGTTTCAGTTCCAAATGAATGCCTGGATACATGTATGGGTCCACAAGCATTTAGTACATTTAGGAGTCTTCATGCACTGTAGGTGCATAAACTCCTCTTGTTGATGAAGAACTTGTCAGTACTGACAATACTGTCCACCTCTAAAGAAGAAACCTAAGGTTTGGCTCAGGTGCACGTACACGACTGCTCAGTATAATCTGAGGTACTCTAGCATGCTTATGACCTGCACGGAGGAGGTATATCTTTTGGTGTCATATGAGAGACCTGTGTGGTACTTACAAATCAGCCAGATAATCTTAACGTAGCTGGCACTAGACATCTACTTGTGGGTGATGGAGTAAGAAACCAAGTGGCTGGTCATTTGAATTGCTCTTTAGTCTGTAAACACTGAACTCACAGCTCCATGGGATGGCACATCATGATACCAATCCATGGAAAGCATATTTGCTTAATCTGGGAGTTTGGTTTTCAGTCAGCTCAGTGAATTAAACCAACTAACCCCAAAGCTGCACAACCACAGTATTCAAAACAAGGTCTGAATGGGTAGTGGCAGGGAACTGGAGAAGGGAAAGTGCACTTATTCCTTTCAGCAGCAACTATTTGTTTCATGATGTTAAGCACAGTGTGGAATTACACTTTCTACGATTTGACTAAACTGAACTCTTCAGCCTTAGAGATGCTCCTGTCAATGCTGGAGAAGAGAAAGAACTAGAATGGTAATCCAGATGCATCTGTGAAGCTTGTTTCACTGTTTCTGTTGCTGATAACAGAGGATGGATAAAAAACAAACTAAAAGAATAGCCTTATGAAAAAGGCCAAGGCTTTGAAGTTGACTGTTGATACATATTTCTATCTTTACTTTTGTAGAAAAATAAAATCATAGAATATTAGAATGGTTTGGGTTGAAGAGACCTTTACAGGCCATCTAGTCCAGCCCTGCTGCAATAAACTGTGTCATCTTCAACTAGATCAGATTGCTCATAGCCCTATCCAGCTTCATCTTGAATGTTTCCAGGGATGGGGCATCTACCACCTCTGGGCAACCTGCTCCAATGTTTCACCACTCTCATCAGAAAAAAAATTCTTCTTTATAACTTTTCTAAAGATACCTTCTTTTAGTTTAAAATGAGTACCCCTTGTCCTATTGCACCACACCCTGTTAAAATGTTTGTCCCCATCTTTCTTATAAGCCCCCTTTAAGTGTTGAAAGGCCACAATAAGGTCTCACCAGAGCTTTCTTTTCTCCAGGCTGAACAATCCCAACTATCTCAGCCTGCCTTCATAGGAAAGGTGCTCCAGCCCTCTGATCATCTTCGTGGCCTCCTCTTGACTCACTCCAACAGGTCCATGTCTTTCCTGTGATGAAAACCCCAGAGCTGGATGCAGCACTCCAGGTGGGGTCTCATGACAGAGGAGTAGCGGGGCAGAATCACCTCCCTTGACCTACTGGTCACAGTGCTTTTGAGGCAGCCCAGGATACAGT